GTTTGTTTTCAGCCATTAATTCATCCAAAATATCATTTATACTAATATTTAATGACTTTTTATCTCTCAATAAAACCATAATTTTATAAACAATTTATAAATTTTGTTTACATTTAAAACTCTTAATGAAAACAAACGATAACTGAAAACATTGACTGAAAATGCCTTCACTTTTGTTGACAACAACTTTAGGGGAAATTCAATGAATTACTGACAAAATTATGTTATTTTTATTTGAGATGATCTGATTGTAATACTATTCATTTAATCACATTTAAATACGTTTAATTAATGTGTGATTTATTAAAAATTAATTTACAATTTATGCCATAATTTAATAGTTTTAATGTATAAATTATATTATTGTTGATTACATATCAATTAATAATAATTCAATTAATTATTGTCAACATTTGTCTCATTAATACCAATCATTAAAATATTGTAATAATTAAAAGCAATGATAAAACCAATTAAAAGTAAATTAAATATTATAATCATGGTAACTTTAGATGCACTTGTTTATAGTGTTTATACGCATTGCCAGTATTGCCGCTGCGGTACTGACATCCGGGCCAATGACAGCCGTAAGGCTTGACATTGTTGTGGATATTCTTGTGGTCCTTCAGGCCGTCGGGTCGGGCGAACCCTTTGCCACATTCGGGCCAATCGCAGACATACGGCCGCTCACCGGTGTGTGTGTTTTGATGCAGTTTAAGACATGTGTTACGTTTGGTGGTGAAGTCACATCCCGGCCACTGACAGTTGATCAGCGGTAGCGGCAGTCGCACCCGTCGAGGCCACCCGTGCTCTGTCTCCCGGTGTTTATTCAGTCGTCCATATTTATGGAACCGTTGCGGACAGCCCTCGACAGTGCACTTGATTGTGGGCTCCCTGTTATGGACGCGTTGGTGGTTCTGAAGCGCGCCCAACGTCTTGTAGGCCTTCGGACAGTCGCCGACACCGCACGGGAACTGCCGTTCCGTCGTGTGAACCGACAAATGTATGTCCAGTTGGCTCTGACTTATATATTGTTGTCGACAGTCATTGTGCGGACACTTAAACGGCTTGTCGTCGCTGTGGACACACCTGTAGTGCGATCTCATTGTGCCCAACGATTTGAAGAGTTTCCCGCAATCGGCATAATCGCAGACAACGTTACGACTCGTGTGCACGTAATTCATGTGCACTCTTAACGAGTGGAAAGTCTTGTAGGACTTCTGGTCGGGCATTGGGTCGCATATATCGCATACAAAGCAATCGGTGGTCAAGTCATAGCACCGCCGGTACAGGTCTTTGCGACGCTCCACATATCTGACCGCCGGCTCTGACTGTCCGCTCGTGTCGTGTGTTATCTTATGGTAAGACAATTGCTGTTCAGATAAGCACCGATAGTCGCAGCCCTCGTAATCGCAGCGACGATATGTCTTCGATGTCTTCGGCTTATAACCAAACTTTGGCCTCAATTTTGATTTTAATCGTTTAGCGCCCGATGTCTTGGCTTTCGTTGACACCATATCTGAGTCTATGATTGGTTTCCTCTCATCCGAGTCTTCATTGATGACCACTTTATCCGTCAAATCATTGTTTTCTCGTTTTATCACTTTTTGTGACGTCTTTATCCTCTTTCGCCCTCTTTTTTGTCCACATTTTTGTGATCCAATTGTTTGATCCGTTTGTTTGTCACTCAATTGATCCAATCGTAGCGACAATAGTCTGAAGTCTTGTTTGTCTTCACAATCGATAAGTGTTTCATATTTTGAGTGAATTATAATTAAATGTGTTTTCAATTCAAATAAACACTTGATTTCATGTAAAAGTCGTTTGTTTTCAGCCATTAATTCATCCAAAATATCATTTATACTAATNATGTACGGTATGGTTAGCGTCTAAATGCCGGTCCAATTGCTGTCTCGTCTGATACCGATGGTCGCAGTTCTCGTGCGGACACAACTCGTTACCACTAGTGGTCGGATTATTTCTGGCGGAGTCGCGATGTCTTGTGATCACGTGGTCTCGCAGTTTATGGAAAACTTTAAACACTCGTTGACAGCCCGTGTGGTCACAGGTATAGGTATCGGTGGTCGAGTCATAACAGCGGCGCTTTAGTTCTTCTCGTAGGACACGATTCGCTTCATTCTTAAGATTGTCGTGACTTTTTCGGTGTGCGACCAGATTTGACCACTCGTGTGAACAATAGTCACAGTCTTCGAAATCGCACTGATATATGGCCTGAGTTTCGCCGACCGGCGGCCGAAGCCGTTTCCTTTTCAAACGCTTGTCGACCGCCGAAGTCGATGGCCTCCTCTCTTCGTCCGAGTCTTCATTAGCGGCCATCTCTTCCCCGAAATCATTGTCCACTTCATTGCTATTGTCTTCTATTTTTGGTGTTTTGGTATAAAATGGATTCTTATAGACCTTTGGCTGCCGTTTCGCTTTCAAACCCTTCCGAGGCGTCCGACTGGCAGTCGATGGCCTCCAGTCTTCGTCCGAGTCTTCATTAGTGACAACAACTCCTAAATCATTGTCTTTTTGTTTCACCACTTTCTCGACTTTGTGGCTACGAATCACGTGTTCCCTCAACCGATCCAATAATTTAAACACTCGCTGACAGCCCGTGTGGTCACAGATATAGGTATTAGTGGTCGAGTCATAGCACCGTCTCTTCAACTCCTGACGCATCACTCGACGGACTTCTACGACGGGGTTGTTGTGCGACATCCGGTGTCTCCTCAGAGAGTCCCAAATGTTTGTCCGATACTCACAGCCGTCGCGATCGCATCGAAACGTTTCCGATGTCGTGCGCGACAATTGTCTCAACATTTTCAGCCGTTTATATTGTTCTGTTTCAAAGATCGGGTCAACGGATCCATCGGTCGGTGCGTTCATGTGAATCAATCGATGCCTCATTAAACTGTTGATCCAACGGTAACTCTTGAGACAGCCTTTAAAATCGCAGGCATAGGAACCGGTGGTCGAGTCAAAGCAACGGCGCTTCAGCCCTTGTCGTTGGCCTCTATTGTCTTCAGTCTTGTGATTGTCGTGTGTTTTTCGGTGTGCGACCAGTTTTGGCCACTCGTGGGTACTATAATCACAGTCTTCGAGATCGCACTGATATATGGCCTGAGTTTCGTTGACCGGCGGCCGAAGCCGTTTCCTTTTCAACCGCTTGTCGACCGCCGAAGTCGATGGCCTCCACTCTTCGTCCGAGTCTTCATTAGTGACGACAACTCCTAAATCATTGTCTTTTTGTTTCACCACTTTTTGAAGTGTTTTTGTTTTCTTCTGTAATCTCTTTTGTTGTGATTTTTGTGACCCAATTGTTTGATCCGTTTGTTTGTCACTCAACTGATCCAATCGTAGCGACAATAGTCTGAAGTGTTGTTTGTCTTCACAATCGATAAGTGTTTCATATTTTGAGTGAAT